GTAAGCGACTCTTATGAATAATAATGTAAAAGTTTATATGTAAGAAAAAGTATATAATTAGATCATGTTAAAAAGGTTAAGAATAAAATAAATAATAAGTATGTAGTTGTCAAAAAAAGAGAATGGTTATGTAAAACAATAGATGACAAAAAAGTATATATGTCAAACAATATTTAGTTACATATTTATTTTATATAAGTATTCATAAGAGTCCCTTACTCTGTTTTAGGCTCTCTCTCTCTTTTTTGTTCTTTTTAATTTTCTCTGTTCAAACATATTAGGCTTTTTGTGTTACCAATTTAAATTTGACAGACATATACAATATCTCATTTACCCTACTGGTATAAAATAAAAGCAATTGTATATACACATGTAGAACTTATGCAAACATGTGTTTACAATTCATCATATCCTCTTCTAATAGGTCTAATGTATAAAAAAAAAATCATTTTTTTAACATTTAGTAAAACATTTATGGGGACATTAATAGGTAAATATTATCTTCCTATTTGACAGATTCACTAGACCAACCAACACAAAACACATAATAAAATGAAAAAGGTTCTTTAGATAGAAATCTACTTATATAGAAAGTGTTTATAGCTATTTTCCGTTAAACCTTTATATGTATTTTTTCTTTTAAAACATTTCTATAATTTGTTGAAACCTTTTGTAGACCGAGCCAAAAACCAGAGTTAGAAACTCTATATAACATTTTACCCATCTAGTCCCTGAAAACACACAAATCCTTCTCTTCTTCTTTCTTTTTTTTTTTCACCATGGGCAGAAGAAAAGTAACACACCAGTTGATTTCTGACAACTCCACTCGTCGAGTTACATTCAGAAAACGCAAAGATGGTTTATTGAAGAAGCTCAAAGAATTAACCATTCTATGTGGTTTACGTGCTTGCGCCATCATCTACAGCGATTACAAGGAAGGCCCTGAAGTCTGGCCAAGCCGTAACGAGGTTCGTGTTCTTCTAAACCGGTTAAGCGAACTTCCGGTTGAGAAACAAACCAAGTACATGATGGACCAGAAAGATCTCATGAACAGGATGATCCAAGATGCAAAGAAGAAGTTAGAGAAAGAGCAGATGCATAGCCGTGCAATGGAACTTGGGATGGTTGCTTCGTTCGATGATCTAAACGATGCTGATTATTCCGAGGATCTGATCAAAGCGGCTGATGTGGTTGAGAAGAGGATCAAAGTTATCAGAGAGAGAATCGAGGCTTTAGAATCAGGAGCAGCCGTAGTCAAGAAAGACTAGCTCTATAGAAAAAGATTTCTAGTCGTTAATTTTCATGGATTTTAATTGTTTACAAAATAAAATGGTTTTGGATTAATGTGTTGAAAATTTGAGTTTTGTGTTTTGTTATGCACTCTTAAGAAATAGTAGAAGAATGGTATAAATCTCTTAGGGACTTCTTGTTGTGTTATTATATCGCTTAAGATTAGATACAATGGAGTCAATGGACAATGGTTTATAACCAGATTGTTTTCTTGTTAGAGAGATTTTTTCCCTCATATGTTTTCTATTTGATTCTCCTATCTG